TCTGGGGGAGCACGGGGCACTGGGTGATTCCCACTTGGGAAACTGAGGCTTTAGGGAAGGGTTTAGTGTCTGGCCGTGCTGTTTGGGATTTAACAGAGGAAGCGGTGAGGAACTGCCTCTGGGAAAGAGGGGGGGTCAGGGAAGGAGAGTGAGGAGGGTCTGGTGAAATGCTGTGGGTGCCACTGCCTGCCCGCCCGCCCCTGCCTGCCTTGGGCACTGTGTGTGGGCTCCACGCTGAAGCCAAATCCTGGCTTTATTTTAAGCCTAAGTAAAACCATCAGGAGTGTCTGGTCCCTTTACCTTCCCTGTGGGAAGGTGGCCCTTGGGTTGATTTATGAAGAGGATGGGTGTTTGGGAAAGAGGGGTCCTGGCTGCTCTGTCCCGTGCCACCGGCTCCTTCCACGCCTCCTCCTGGCCTCAGGCAGTGGACGTAGCCCCTGCTTGCCTGCGCAGGTAAGAGCCTTCTCCCTCCCCTCTCCCCCTGCCAGCTCTCCAGATGTGACCGTCCTTCTTTGGCACGGGACAAGGCTTGGGTGGTGAAGACGGAGGCCGCAAGGAGGGAGAGGACGTGGAGGGCTGGCGTTCACAGCTGCTGGCTCTGTCCCTCCTCCAGGAATCGCTTTTGAAAGTCATATGTGTGCGCGCACGTGCGTGTGGAGGAGAGGAGAGGTGGTTTCCAAGCCCTCCATGGGCTCTTCAGAAGTGCAGCTGGGGGCCGTTTCCTCCTTGGCGGGGTTCCCACCAGACGGGGACGGCCAAGTGCTCGCCCTGTCCTGCCGCGGGCTGCACAGCCCCTCGCCTGCTCCACGCATGCAGCCCCTTGCCGGCGTGCTGGGCAGCTGGGATCTTCTCCAGCCCCACCGCCTTGCTTTGGAGCTTCCCACACCACCTCTGCCATGGCTGCAGGCTTTAAATATATATATACATATATATATACACATATATATATATAAAAAAAATTACAAAAATCAACTAAAATTCATTGATTCCCTCCCCTGTCTAATGCAGAGGAGATGGCGCATGGGTTTGAATGGGGCCCTGCGCTTCTTGCAGCTGAAGGTCTGGACATGCGCTGAACATGCGCTTTGCTGGGGAGCGGCTGCAGCCGCAGGAATGGGATGGGGAGGCTTTGCAGCGGGAGTGGTTTGGGGAAGGGTGGTGGGCCAGATTTTGTGCCTGTGCCAGGGCGATGGCAGTGCCCCTGCTAGCACCCTCCGAGCATGACTTTATGCCACCCAGAGCAAGCGGTCCCCTCACCCCTCATGGCACAAAGGCAGAAGTGCTCAGCAAGGGTGTGCATGGCTTCGGACCAGTGCGGGTTGCATCCCTCCTTAGCCCTGCCGCTGGTCAAAGCCCAGTTCTGCTCCCATGAGGATTTTGGGTTTTCTGGCCCCTCTGAAAGGGGCTGGCCTTTTCTCCACAGCTGACACCATCAAGGCTCCTGATTTTGCCCATCCTGAGGCCATCCTGCACCCCTTCCTCCCCACCCAGCACCCCCCTGGGTTGCAACCCCTTGCGGTGAGCTGAAGCATCTCTGACACTTCTGTTCTTTTTCAGAAACAGACTGAATTCAAACCATCAGCCCCGGAGGATCCGCTCTTACACTTGAGAAGAAATTTTTGGTCTTTAAGAAACCCATGGGCCGGCCTGATCCAAACCTCAGGAGCAGGACGTGGTGATAAAGCACTGCCGTAAATGAGACCTTTGAGCACAGCACAAGAGAGAGCACGCGTGCAAAAACTGGGCACTTAGTGCAGAGCTCTCGGTGGCCCGGCCGAGGAGATGGCTGAGAGCTGGCGGAGGCGGGGGCTCAGCTCGACCCAGGAAATAGGATGCTCTTGTTTGCTTTTCAGTGGACAGACTTTCAGATTTCATATTCATATACCGATGCCTACAGCTGCCTATACAAGCATAACTGAATCTCAGACATTGTGTAAACAAGGTCATTGCTTAGATATGGACTATCATGGCACAGTACTCTTTTTTTTTTTTTTTTTTTCTTTTCATTTTTTCATCTGTCCGTTAAGGTGTTTGTTCTCTAAAGGTTGGCATGGCTGCATATATGCTCTCCGCCCTTTCTGGTCCTTAAGCCCTGGAAATGAAGGGCTTTGCAGGCACACAAGTGTGTGTGTGTGTGTGTTAGGAAAGGAAAGGTATCTGAGAAGAAAACTGCCAGTCTTGCATTAAAGTCCAGTGGGAGTTGAGTGAGATTTTCATCCCTACAGATGAGGTTAGATTTAGCGTTGCATACTCTCCAATAAGTAGCAGGTTCCCAGACCCAGACAACCCAGGAGATGGAGTTTGGTGTCGTTTGTCCCTTGCTGGCTAGAATATTTTCCTTGTGCTCCTGGAGACTGACTAGCAGGCTATTAAATGTCCAAGTCTCCCTTTAATCACTGAGAAGTAGCACATCATAATTTTTCCATCCTGACCTGGAATCCTTTTCATTGTTCAGCGAGAACAAGCTGTTCTGCAGAGAACAAATGCAGAGAATACGCAGCGTTGCTGTGAGTGGTTCAAGTCATTGTTGTCTCCAAGGGATCCGCGAGGCAGCAGCTCTTCTGCAATCAGGAAGTTTCCCTCTTTGCAGCCCTACATGATAGATCCTCCTGCAGCAGCGCTCATAACTTGAAGTGTTTGCTCCAGTCTGTTTTTTTCTTCTTTTTTTTTTTTTTTTCCCCTAGTCCATCTGCACTAGTTCTGGCAAAAGAGCAAAATAAATTTATCAGTTAACCTTCCCGCTTTCCGGTACCTGTACATTTTTAACGTGCCCATGTTGTCTTGGGTGGTTGCTGTGTGATGCAACTTCTTGATGATTTTTTTAATATTCTTTTCTAATAGAAAACAAGGTCTAGAAGGGAAACTCTTGAGCTGAATAGTCCAGCCAAATGCTGTGTCAGACTGTTCTGTCACAAACTAATCAGATTCCAGCTCAAAATTGGTTCCATGTCTTGCCTTCACTTTTGCTCTTGGAAGGCTATTCCAGAACTTGACTTCCTTTGAATGGTTAGAAACTTTATTTAAATTTCTAGTTTGAATTAATTCGTGGCCGGTTCATTCCTGGTTTGTTTTGGAGCCAACATTGTCCTTTAACTTAAATAGTTTTTGGTGTTTATCCGCTGATGTATTTATGGAGAGTAGTCATAGCTCCTTATTTTTGCCAAGCTAACTCAGCCAGGCTTTTTCAGTAGAAGGTTTTTATTTAGTGAGAGCTTTTTAATGTGGGAGACTTTATTGTTGGTGGTAAATGATATTTATTAGAAGGGTGGGTAGCAAGCCCTAAAGGATCGGATCCAGAGATTTACAAAAAAAATCTGGTTTAAAAACAAAAAAGCTCTTTCAGAACCTCTTCCAAAGATGGTGTCTGATTTCTACCTTTAATTGCCCTTGCTTTTCCAATTCTTTCTTCCTCCCTTCTTTAAGAGGCTGCCTTGCTCGACTGCTAGGAGGGATTTTATCTGCCCAGTGCTTTGCAAGAGAGAGGAGGGAGGCTTCCTCTCGCCTGGCGGTGCCTGTGCGGTAGGTGCCAGTGCCTGAGCTCGCGTAGCTCCCCTGGGACACGGTGTAACCCCCACTGCTAAGTGTGAGCATCTGCTTGGGAAGACGACCTGCATCCTAAAGAGATCCGGGGGCGACGCGCTCAGATGCAGACACCCAAACTGCAACCATCCCTTAGCAGTCACAGAAGCCTCCCCAAAACGCTGCGAGCAGGGGTGGCGTTGACCCGCAGCACCCTGCTGACACCAGGCTCCCTAAATTTCTTTCTCTTTAGAAGCACTATTGCCGGTCATGCCGTGGTTGGAGGCATAACTGGCGGCCATCCCGCTTCAGCCTTGTGCCGGCTCCGCCGGGCAGCGTCCCTGCGGCTCTCCTTCGGCAGAGCAGGGGCGGCCGCACTGTGAAGATGGCCAGAGCCCCAGGGGTTCACCCTCGCGGGTGCAATCCTGCATACCCCAAAACGTCACAGGTGACGGGGGAAGCTGGGTGGTCCTAGAGCCAGAGGTAGCAGATCTGGGAGCGGTGCGGCCTGAGAGTATCAGTGTATGTACGGTGTTACCTTCAGAGAACAAATACAGGTAGGTCATTTACTCTCTAGTGTCTATGTACATGCAGGTTTATTTAAGTACACATATATACAGTTCAGATATGCCATTGATTCTTTATTGCATTAAGATGTACATTAAAAATGTACACTTTTACTAACTACTTGCTATATAAATATGTTGGAAGTGTAGTTTGCCCGTTCAAGGTGATTTTCTGTGGGATTTTTGGTGTACACTTAAAGGCCTAAGGCTAATTGGAAGAGTGGTCCCCGCTCCATCTACAGAAATGCTTAAGGACTATAGTATGAACTGGCCCCTTTGAACCATTTTTCCATGCACTAGCTGAATTTTTTTGCACTCGGATTGTATTTGGCCAGTTTTCCAGAAAAATTGAAAAGAGAAGTCTTGTGAGCTGGAGGGAGAATTTCCCGGTGTACACAGAAAAACCAGCCTTGAGGGTTGGAAGCTGCTGAGGTTTTTGAGCTTTGTCTCCATGCATTCATACAAGCACAGCAGGAGTTTTCTTTCTTTTGGGTCGGAGGAATTTTAAAAAGTGGTTCCATGCAGACTCCCCTCGGACGCGGTGACCGGGCTGGCAAGCCCCTTTGCGTGGGGAGGGTAAGATTTAGAGGCAAAAACATCAAAAAGTAATCGAGTTCCCTTTCTAACTCCCACATTCCTTGTTATCTGCATTTTTAGTTGACTTGAAATCTCCATGAAAGTATAAACTGAAGATTTTTGAGGGTTTAGCTCTGTGGTCCTCAGTTTCCCTAATCGTCATTTTTGAAGCTGAGGAGAAGCAGGTGCCATCTCCAAATCGACTCAGGTTTTGGTGCAGAACATTAAAATACGTTTGCATCTGAAACCGAAAGGAATAATTGAGAGGTGGCTTGACGGTCCCAGCAGCAGCTCTTCTGGTGTTAAGAGGAAGCATCACCACAGTTCTTCACAGCGTGTGAATATTTATCATCATCTAATCAAAGATGACTATCTTGACTTGAAAGGAGGGGTGTAAGTTAGAGGTCGCGTAGCCAGCATCAGTAAGGAAGGGAAATAAATTCTTCACCTGCCTCTGCCATGTGTGAGTTTGGGCTTGACAGACACAGTGGTAACCATCGTTTTTAATCCATGTGAATCTTGTTACTTATGTCTCTGAGGCTGCTTAGATTAAGGGCACAATCCAAGTGCTTAATAACCCGAAACCCTGATTTGTGCTGTACCTGGCTTGCTCACGTAAAGGGCTGCTGGTTCTCCTGATGCAAGGAACAGTTCCTTTATTCATTATCAGCGGGCCCTGCTGTGAGATTTCTAGACATGGCTCTGTGTTTCATTTGGGTAGCTTATTTTTCTGCTCCTTAATTAGCATCATCCTGGAAATCATTTTTTTTTTTTTTTTTTTAAGCAGAACACAAAACAAACAATGATTTACAGGCTCCAGTTTCCACTTGCCTGAGAGCCGAGCGCTGCTGCACATGAAGCCCACAGCCGTGGCGAGAGGAAGGCGCTGGGGTGCTTGCTTCGACGCATGGCATGCAGCGGTCAGCGTATGCCTGCAGAGCTCCAGGTGCAGGTATTGAGTGCAGCTGCATGTCCCCTCCCTGCCAGGGGCTTGCGTTGGTCACCATGAGAAGCCACCAGCAAAAGCAGTAGCTGCTGGCAGCTGTGAGGAGAAACCCCGTAGTCAGCCCACAGCTGAACGCAGAACCTTAACCTGCCTGGGTGATGCTCGCACGGAAGCTGGAGCTGCAAGATACCTGCTTGGTTAATTTTGGTAGGTGTCCCCTGTCTGTTCAGGAGGAAGAGGAGGATGTAGAAGGCTGATTTTCCATGTAGGGTTTTGGGTATATATTTAATTATTTATTTTCTTAAAACGAAAAGCGAGAATTTTTGGTCACAGAAGTGGTGTATTCTGTCTTCCCTGCAACCCCTCTCAGAGATGCCACAGAGGCAACCTGATCGGAAGGCGATGTTTGGAAGCTGGGTCACTGGGAATCAGAAGAGAAAGATGATTTTTCAGCACTTAGGTGCAAATTAGAAAGTTAACATGATGCTGCACCTTCCCGTCAAGTTTATAGTATTTAAAATGCTTGTAAACGTCTCTCTCCTGTTGCTCAGATAGTTCTGGCTTTGCTCTTTTCAAATCAATCGGTGGCCTGATGTGATTCAGCTCACTGCAGTATCTTTTGTTGTAATTTCTCAGTTGATCACAAAACCAGCAGGGTAAGATTAGGCGACACTACAAATGGAGGGGGGGATAGGAGACTTGGAAAATGTACTTTTTTTTTTTTTTTTTTTGCAAGTTTAGTTTCTGCTGTATGTTTTACTGGCAGTGGTCCCTGCCAGGAATGCTGGATTGGCATGGCAAAATGGTAAAGCAGAGCAAGGGAGCTCTGTTACCTAAGCAGTGATTTAATTATTATTTTTTTTTATTGTTATTGCCTGTTCCAGTAAAGAGTGCTCTGTTGGCTGATGTTGGCCATATTTTGATGGCACAATTCAAGCCACTTTTTCCCTGTACTGATGGAGGGTGGTATTAGGAGGACTCTTGCTTACTGGTGCTAGTGAA